CTAAGGTATGTTCTTTCCATGGAGGTAGAAGGTAGGGGGACGCTGTCACGTAGTCCAAGACGGGTTCATTTCCGCCATATTGTGTTCACGAATCCTTCAAACAATCAATCGTGGTTTCAATCAACGTTTTTTTCTATTTTTATGTCGTTTGGAAACTAAATATATTGTACATATTAAAAGTTAAACAATGCTTGCTTGTGCTCAACGTATTTGTAGCAACCTAATAGATAATAATATGAAGAAATTATCCAAAATAACATTCCACAACTAAGTATACAACATAGTAAACAATGTGCAGGGCCGCATTTAGGAAATTAAGATATTAATTGTGCTTTGAGTGAGAGTGTTGTAACCATATTAGAGTTATGTAAAGATGAATTAAAAATGAAAGAATTTACTGAAGTTGGTGCAAAAATTAGATTTAAAATAATCATAAATAATCTCTTTATTGCCTTAAATTCTAGAGATTTACTTCAGTTTAATTATAAAAAGCATTTGTCTTTAAAAACATTATGAAGGTATAGATTTTTTTAATGACATGGATTAGTATATTAGTGCCTTAAAAACACGTAATTTACAACACCGACTCATATTTACAATTTTTACCAATATGACTACGTCTCGCCTGGCAAGCTTCTCTTCGTCGCTCGAAAAACAACTTTTCGTCATTGTAACATAAACTACTATTATGAAATACAAATTTCCTTCTATTTTAGATATGAATATATATTCCACTATTCAATATTAATAAAAAACACAATATTCATTCAGAAATACTATACACTATACTATTACTGGTTTATATATTTATATATATTATAACTGTCATAATGCATGATTTAATGCATGGGGATCAGATCCTTTTCTGTATAATATTCACTTTGAAACAGGCTAGGTACTGGTTTATGTTTTATATAATTTTATATATCTACTTGGTGTAACAAAAATGTAGGTCATAAATGGAACCACATATTCTGGGGTCAAAAATAACTCGATTGAATATAACTTACCTTAATTCAAATGTACATACAACAAAAGTTAGAGCTCTTGGAAAGTACAAAATAAAAATCGATTTTTTCAAATATTTCATGGATACATGGCTTTTTTATCGTAAGGGCATCTTTTTCACATAAAACTACGAAATCTGTACATCCCATAAAAATTTTAGGGTAGTGATGCCGCGAGACGAGAGATTCTCGTCTCTCGTCTCGTCTTGTCTCGTCTCGTACGAGACGAGAGAGACATTTTCTCTCGAAAAAAGATTCGAGACGAGACGAGAGAGTGTCATCTCTCGACGAGAATTTCTCGTTTCTCTCGAGCTCTCTCGAGTTCTCTCGCGCAATTAAATTTTTAATTTAAAATTTTCAATTACTTATCGTAACTTAAAATTTAAAAATATCAGATTTCCTGACAGTCAAAAAGTTAACTATAAAACACCTATTTTATATACACAGTGAGTTTTAAGTATGAAACGCCTCAATTATCTCGGAAACGGCTTGCACGATTTTTATTTATGGTGACCCGTCAAATGCGCCCAGAAAAAAGTGCTCCGACAAAAGCGCCCCGACAAATGCGCTTCCCGAAAAAAGCACCCAAGATAAAAGCGCCACCCAAAATTTCTTTGTATAAAAACAGAACCAACGAACAAAATGGTAATAATTTCCATTTAGTCAAATTTTTTGAACGTTACTTTTGGAGATAAATTAGAAAGACAACAATTTATAAGTGTTTAATCGAAAAATTGTCAAAAAAAAAGAGTAAAAGAGACGAACGTATAATATTGTTAACATGCTTCAAAATGCTTTCTTTTGATATCACACGAAAAAAATTATAACTTTCAAATGAAACCCTACCCCTTCCCAACTAACTTCTAAGACAAAGTATTTATAGCAGGGGCAAAAGTTGGAAAGGCTTTTGCTAGTTCTCCCACTTCATACATAACTTGACAGGTTTGCGGCGGATCTAACCGAAGTGGACGCGATACATTGCCGTACAAAATTATTTTTTAGATGTTAATAACAATTTCAAGTAAATAGTTTAATAAATTGTGATTATTTTTTTTTGCCTCATAGCACTTTCTCGAAAAACCAGTTATCCTTCAAAAAAATTTGAAGTTGGCTGTTCAACACTTGTTGTTTCTACGGATAAGTAACAAACAGTCGCTCTAACAATTACATACTGTCAATTGAAGCTTTCGATTATTGTGCATTTTAAAAGTGTCAAGAAAAGTTAAACTTTCTGTTACAATGGTTTATACGTTTGCAGAAATGGCAGATATGCATTTAATTCTGGGTAAGTTTGGTCAGGATTAAACAAGGTTTCAGAGAATTATCTGTAATTCTGGTAATCACAGGTGAATGCCAAGAGAATAGTGCAGCAGCTGCAAGGCGTTATGCGGAAAAATATCCCGATCAGAATACACCAGATAGACGATTATTTCTTTCCATTAATCATCATTTACGGGAGACGGGTACTTTGCGACCGCAACTTGCTAGTAATAGTGGTCGTCCAAAAATGGATTTTAGAATTAGTCGAAGAAAACCTGAAAGCAGTACAAGGGTAATAGCTGCTCAATTAGACATTGGTCACATGTTGGTTTCAAGAAGATTAAAGGAACAGCAGCTATCACTCTTAACAACCGTTCAAGAATTACTAGATGAAGATTATCCTAAAAGAATGAGATTTTGCGACTGGTTCTCGACGGAAAACAATCGAAATATCAATTTCAATTAATCATATTTTGTTTGCACCTTCAATAGAAATGGCATTACGAATTACCATAACGAACATAAATGGGCCGAAGAAAAGCCTTATGCAAAAAAGTGACTCATCGCCAAAGGACTTTTAAAGTCAATGTTTGGGCAAGCATTGTGAATAATAATTTAATAGGACCAGTATTTCTTCTAAATAATTTAAATGGTGCAAATTACTTGCAGTTCTTACAAAATGATTTACCAGAGTACTTGGAAGAGGTAAATTTGGCCCAACTTTCGTTTAGCCGAAATCTGTTATGCAAAAACTGTTGTTATAATAACAATTGTGATGGCTATGAGTAAACAAAAACCCTAATCTTATAGTTAGGTAATGCGTAGTTGCCAAGTTTTAGATGATTACGGTTTTTGTTTAATTTCATTTAACTGAAATAAGTTATGCAAAAAATGTTGCCATGGGCACCTTGTCATGTTATCGACTAAACAAAAACCCAAATCTCGTGGTGGGGAAATGCGTATTTGCCAAGTTATAGATCATATAATGTTCACTTTAGTTTAGCCGAAATCAGTTACGGAAAAACTGTTTTCATGGAAACGCTTGTCATGCTAAGGACTAAACAAAAATCCAAATCCGGCAGTGAGGAAATGCGTAGTTGCCAAGTTATAGATTATTTAATGTTCACTTTAGTTTAGCTGAAATCAGTTATAAAGAAACTGTTGCCATGGAAACGCTTATTATGCTAACGACTAAACAAAAACATAAATCTCGTAGTGAGGAAATGCGTAGTTGCCAAGTAGTGGTTAGTAGGTGGGTGGAACGAGCGTAGCGTGGATCTTATGATGTAGGTGGAAAAAGAGCACGCCCGGCCGACGTTTCGAAATTCGCGCGCGAAACGTCTGCCAGGCGCGCTCGCTTCGCTCGCTTTCCTCTGTAGTAGTTAAGTTGTGGGTAGGAGGAGCGTAGCGTGATCGTATAGAGAAACTGTTGCCATGAAAACGTTTGTCATGCTAATGACTAAACAGATCCCGTAGTGATAAAATACCTAGTTGCCAAGTTATAGATGGTTTCATTTTCACTTTAGTTTAGATTAGGATATTGTGTTAAGAGTTAATCTAAATATAAGAGGCAACTACGCATTTCCTCACCACTAGATTTAGGTTTTTGTTTAGTCGACATCACGACATCTCCATAACCGATTTCAGCTAAACTAAAGTGAAAATTAAATGACCTGTAACTTGCCAACTATGCATTTTCTTACCACAGGATTTGGGTTTTTGTTTAGTCGTTACCATGACAAGTGTCTCTATGGCAAGAGTTTCTCCGTAACTGATTATAGCTAAATTAAATCATCTGTAACTTGGCAACCACGCATTTCCTCACCATGGGATTTGGCTTTTTGTTTAGTCGTTACTATGTCAAGCGTTCCCATGGCAACAGTTTCATCATAACTGATTTCGTCTAAACTAAAGTGAACATTAAATAATCTATAACTTGGCAACTATGCATTTCCTCACCACGAGATTTGGGTTTTTGTTTACTGGTTACCATGGCAACGGTTGCCATGGCAACAATTTTTACGTAACTGATTTCGGCTATACGAAAGTTGACACGTAAATTTAGGAATAAGGCAAAATATGTGGTATTTACAAGATGGAGCTCCAGCGCATTTTGATAACGAAGTTAGGAAATATCTTTTCTGTTTGTACCCTGGACGTTGAATTGGAAGGGGCCCTGATGCACCTATTTCTTGGCCAGAAGTCCAGATCTTAACTCTATTGACTTTTGCTTCTGGGGTTTTTTGAAAGAGAACGTGTATTATATTGAAATAATCGACGAACAACAACTGAGGCATCTGATTATTGAAAGTACAAATCGATTTCATCAAAAGCCAATGATCTTCCAAAAAATTCGGGTTTTTCTTTTTAAAATGGTGCCGAATGTGTATTCTGGAAAATGGAGGCCATTTTGAACATTTATTATAGTAAATACTACACATCTATACATATTTTTTATACCTGTGAATAACATGAATACTCAGTTATATCTTACTTTTTGTTACTCAAAATTTTGGAAGGATAATGAAAAAGAGGGCGCATCTCGATAAAAACTGGCTTTTAATTTAATGGTAACGCATAGAAATGTTTGGGTGGTTTTAGGGGTTGAAAACAAAGTGTTTTTATACAAAATATTTTAATCTAATAATTTGTTTCATTTTACGTTTACGTGTTTTAATAATTAATACCTATGTAATTATTTTCTAAAATATTGAACTTTTTGTTTTTTTTTAGGTTGCATGAATTTCACTTATGATCCAGATGAATTTGCTATAAATATGAATGTACTAATGAATAATAACAACGTGTACTCCAATTCTTTCTCAGGTAAAATGTAGGCTTTTTTATAAAGTAAGTATACCTCTAGTGTTACACTTTTATCTAATTTTCTCGTGTATTTATGAAGTATTAATATGAGTTTTTTAGTGAAATTACCAAATTTTATCAAATAAAACGTATGTACTTTATCTAATTTATCCATCTATGTTAATAAAAAAGTAAAATACGTGAACGTAGATATTTACCGATAAAAATCAAGTGCATGAAGGTGCGTTTTTCGTAATACGTGATAAAGTATAATAATTAAACTCTACTTATCTAATTATCTACTGTAGAAACTACTACAAGAATTTGGAGTATCATTTAGAGTACCATACCAAAGTATATTAACTAAACAATATATAAAAGGTCTGTGATATTAACCGTTGAGTAGCGACAGCTGGGGAACAGAATTCTAGTGCGCCGACGCGAAATAAAGATGTAAACAACCCCTTTCACTTTAGTCCGGCAGCTGATATAGGAATTCGTTGTTGTGGATTTATTAGTCCAAAATTGTATTCAGCGACATGTTTAAATAACGCGAAATTTAAAGTTTGAGACAACTCGATTAATAAATATGAAGGTCCATAAGTAATAATTTCTATTGTTATCAAAAATCAAAACCCTGTGCACCTACCATCCAGATAGCACACCAAATCCTTTGGATATCTACTGTACATCCCAATATCCACTGAATATCCAGTCCATGGTAGATATCTATTTTATATCCATGAAATGTAATTTATAGACATGCAAATGTCCATAAATAATAGTAATTATATAGCAAATTATTAAAAAATTACGCCATTGTGGCTAATAATACTGTTCAGATATTTAAAATTATTTTTTTAACGTGTATTCAATATCCCATGAACATCCACTAAATATATCAAAGTCTAGGCGCGAACGCAAACCATCGTGGATATACACTAGATGTTATTTGATTCTGCTTACCACTATCGCATCTACTCATGCTCGACCCGCCGTAATTGAGTTCGATCGAAATTTGTGTCCTAATCACTCCATTAGAGACTGGAGTCGAGCATTTTCATTTATTGCTGAAGAGTCGTAATAAGGATGACTTTCTCCTTAGTGGGCAAAATCAAAGGCAGAGTGTTGAAAATATTTTCAGTGTTGAAAATATTTTTTATCTCTGCTATTTTCTTTCGACGTTATTCAATAATCATTGGTTACTTATGAACCTCTATTAAAGATACCCATAAAATATTTTGCTAAATATCCGAATATCTTCTATATCCTGGGATATAGACGGACATTTGGTTGGATATCCATATTGGATATATTGAATATCCACTAAATATATTCTGTGGATATCTCTGTGATTTCTTGTATTTTCTGGAAGATACCCATTAAATATTTTGCTGAATATCCATTAGGATATCTTCTATATTCTGGATATAGACGGACATTTGGATATCCATATTAGATCCACGGAATATTTCTGATATCCTGTGGATATATTGGATATCCACAGAAGATATTCTGTGGATATCTCTGGGATTTGGTGTGTTGTCTGGGCAACTTTCAAGTCTCTAGCTCATCCGGACGTAGGTAAAAAAATTCCAGCACCCTGTATAAAAAAATTATATTCTTTTTAAAAAACCTCTCATTCCTTAACCAGCGACTACAACAAGTGGTATATATTATTATAAAATTTAGTTATAACCAGGATGTCGTTCCTGCTGCTGGTTAAGGAATGAGAGGTTTTTTAAAAAGAATATAATTTTTTTATACAGGGTGCTGCTGTTGTAGCTGCTGGAACAAAAACAATATGTTTTTGCGACAAGCTTCCAGTATGTTTAGACTCAAAACCAATGCTGCTGGTTTGTTTTTAGGCGTTTTCTGAATTAGGTTCTCTATATAAGGCAACCTCGTTAACATTTCTTTCGCAGTATGCCTCCGCGCTTTGTGTTACCATATCATCGATATTTGGGTCCGGGAAACGAATTGGAGAGTGGGGAGCCCGTTGACAGTGACGATTACATAGCCGAAAAACACGACTACGCCTACGCTAACGCCATATCGGCAGAAGACGTATTAAGAGCTGACGAAGAGGCCGTAAAAGAATTTTGGAGTGGTTTGGAATTTATTAATAGTGATATATATTTTTATATTTATTACATAAGTTAAATACTCATAAATATAAAACTGCCTAATGACCAAACCTTTATTATAAATGTAAACTACAAAAGAGTTTTATTTCAAATTACGTCGAGCAGTGTAAACATCACATTCAAGACCAGTTCATAATTCGAGCAGTGTTTTAGTGTGTCGTTCCGTCAATAACGTCAAAAGAGAGAGAAAGAAAATTTGCACCACCCAAGATCAAAGGCACCGACGCTTTATGTCGCTACTCAACGGTTAATATCACATACTTTGATTACTATACGAGGCAAGAGAGACGTCTGACACGCCCAACATAGGGCGCGGCCATTTTGAACCCTGTGACACAGTTTACAGCTAAAGAATCAGATCGCTCACTCTGCGTCGGCACTTTGGATCTCAATGTTTCAGTTTATACACTTTGCAACTCAGATAATACAATATATGACAACCGCCTATAATAAAACAGCAGTCTTCTGCGTATCCTGAATTTGTATCCCTGGAATGGATGTTATTTTGGAACTTTCAACTGGTCCGAGTGAGCTAACTGATTCTTTAGCAATAAACTGTGACTCCAAAAATAATATTCACTGACACTGACAGCAGCACGCAAAATATCAGGTGCGTTTTAATCATCAGCTCCTGCTTCCGAAATTGTCGGTTTAGTCGTTTTAACCTGTCAGAATAAAACAAGAAAACCGACAATTCCGAAGCAGAAGCGGATGATTAAAACGCACCTAATAAAAATATTGCGCCAAGATGTAGGCAACACGTAATAAGGGTTCAAAATGGCGGAGTTTTCTATCTCCTTTTAAAAGGCACTCAGAAAGCTGCGCAGTGCGACCATTCTCCGTATAGTAAAAGAAAATCAAAGTATGTGGTTAATATACTTTGACCATACTGTCAGTAGTGTCAGTACTGCAAACTTACGTTTTTCTAACAAGAATGACAGATATAATATAAACATAATACAAATATTTTAACGAGGTCTCATTTTTTTGTAGAAGTAGGTTTGGTTCGATATTCCTTTTAATTGATTGGCTGAATGTTTAAAATATCAATGCCTAAAAAGTAAATGCGTTAAACACGAAGCAAACAAAAAATGCTGCAGTGAAACTCACTTAGCGGGAACTGTTTGCGGAGATATTCGTCCAGCCGCGTCTGATCTCACCCTGTAAGTATATTGTAGATAAAAAATCAATCATATTAAAATTCTTGCGAGTTTTACTAATTATGTGTTTTTCGTTTCTCCATAAAAAACAAATGGAAATTGAAATACGCTGGTTTAAAACAAAACAATTTTTATTCACTTTAACATTGAAACATTGGCCGTGTTCATTGTCGTTAAAAATGTTTTAAAATCAGAGAAACATGTTTCATAAGCTGTTAATATGATGCTGAACGATCGTTTTTGTTTAGAATTTGCTTTCTCAACCTCAAACCTGTCAAAAAAATTGAATGACATTTGGTTGGCACACAGAAGGTTAAGTGTATTGTTTCCTATATTATTTTTGAGATGAATTAGGCATTTCAAACTGAATAGCTACCAGTGGGTTTTGACGGGTTATGATATGGCAAAATGAAGGCAACCCTGTACGCTTGGTGATTTGACAAGGTCCATGAAATAGATAGTTACATAGATTGATCATCCATATTTTTCAAAATAAACATAAGCTTATGCCTTGAAGTAAAAATGTAAGCAATTATTTTTTTTAAATATCTAAAGACTAAAAATTGGTTTTAAAACACATTTTTGCTAAACCGATTCTAATTAATAAATATTTGCCAGGCAATATGGCCGCTCGTAAACGACCAGCTTTGAGCAATCTATATAACTATATATGTATCATTGACCCTGTTAATGACAACATGACAACAGGGTTGCCATATCTAAACTGTCATTACCCACTGGTAGCCATTTGGACAGGTCGTTGGAATGCCTAATTGATTTGTAGGAGTTAGTTAGAGTTTATGTAGTACCCTTTTGTAAGTGGTTTTGACAATTTTACGTCGAAAAAAACTTATTTTGGGTTGTAAAGTCATAATGTTTAATTTTTTTTTCTACACCCGTATTATAATAATGCACTTATATGCCCATAATCCGTTTCATAATGATACCCATTATGATACAGATTTTTCATTACGATACAGATTTTTCATTACGATACAGATTTTTCATTACGATACAGATTTTTCATTACGATACAGATTTTTCATTACGATACAGATTTTTAATCAATAGAAACCTACAATTTTTCAATCAAGCATGCTGTTTGACGTTTGTCCTAGGTTCCTATGTATTTGTTTTAGTTGTCAAAACGTATTAAATTTTGGTAGATAACTAAACTTCGTTAATTATAATATTAAAATGTCTGATATCAGCGATATAGAAGACTCCTCCACACATATCGGAGAAAGCAGAAAATACAGTATAAAATATTTTGCCGCAAAAATCTAGGGAAATACCAATACCCGAAGTAATACCATTAATTACAATTTTGTAGAATTTTTTATAGAAATACACGAGTAATTATTGTTATTGTGTTCAATACCAATATGATAATAATATTTATAGTTCTTGATTATTTATCGGGTGTAGAAAAAATAGCGTATGCAACTCTCATGTAATGGTTATTAATACACTCGCATAAACCATACGAAACTCGCCTTTGGCTCGTTTCGTATCCCGGTTAATGCTAGTGTATTAATAACCATCATTACATGATCGTTGCATAATATACTATTATTGCGTCCCTGAATCTTGAATTCTACATACTTATACTAAATCAATATAATCAAAGAGTTTGTAACAGTTATTTTATAACAGGTAATAGTATATTACATAACAAGAGTAGTAAGAAGCTAATTACATGCGAGTAGAAAAG